TCTCTCTCTCTTTCTTTCATTGAAAGTAAAGACAGAAGAGAGAAGCATGTGCGAGTCGGTGGATCTTCGACGTGGGGAGTCCACTGTGAGTCCTTACCGACAGGACTTTTAAAAAGAGATAGAAAGAGAGATAGAAAGAGAGATAGATATATTGAGTGAAAGAAAGAAAAAGAGAAAGAGAGAGAGAAGTAGTGGTCAGAGGAGGATTTCTGAGCGAACGCACAGCGGTAGCTGATGTATTTTGACGTGCCCGATGAGAGAGCCCGTTCTCTCTGTTGACTACATTATCTAATGGACCACCCTCTCCTCCTCCCACCCTCCTCCACCTTTTACTTCTTCTCCACCTCTACACTTTTCTCGTTCGATGCACGCCTATCTACGATCTGCCACGTCCGACCGTTCATCCAACAGCATCGTTGTCCTCGTCATTGTGTCCTACTCACTAATACTATTACATTTCATCATCATCATCATCATTATCATCATCATCATCATCGTCGTCGTTATCATCATCATCATCATCATCATCATCATCATCATTGTTTCTCCTCCTCCCTCTCTCTTTCTTTCTGAATAATCATGCCGGCGGTCCAACCAGCTTTGATTTCATAAACGACCACGGATTTCTTTTCTCCCGGTGCGTGGCTCGCGTCATTCACCTGGACGATGCCAATAATAACGCCATACACAATCGTAGTCGTCGTCGTCGTCGTCGTCGTTGGATATACTAATAAGTGCGACTCATGTTAACTTCGATACACACTGCCTTGGATAGATCGATGCTCGTTCGTTCGTGATCGACGTCACGATCGATCCCCGTTCCATGCATTCGCTTCTTGGAATCCACGTTTTACCTTACCGCTCTGTCCAATGAATTTCTTAAGACAATCATTATTATTATTATTATTATTATTATTATTATCGTTCAAGAGAAATTACATTCTATTCGTCTAAATTAATTTAATAATTAAATCATCTTAAATTTATTTATCGAGATAATTTTTATTATTGTTTTTTGTCTGTACATATATATATATAAAAAGTATGAGAGAGATCGGAAATTTTTGTTATAAAAATTAATATATTATTTAAATGTTGTATCTTAGAAGGAATATGTTTAACTTCTTGTACCTGACCACCGGTAATAAACTCACGGGTGAGCTCGACTTTGTGCTAGGTTCAATTTAGTACTGGGAAGATTTTACACGGCAGTTACAATCGAGAAAGAGAAGTTTTCGCAAAAAACTCAAGTTGAGTTACCGGGACTTTAAAAGGGAGATCGAGAATTCTCTCTCTCTCTCTCTCTCTCTCTCTCTCTCTCTCTCTTTCTCTCTGTTAAACGATGGAATAACTATTGTCCACTTTGGCGATTCCTTACTTTCAAAAGAGAACGAACTATCCGTCGGAGGAATTTCCACATCGAATTCTCAACACTCTTTCCTTCTTTCTTTCTTTCTCTTTCTCTCTTTTTCTTTTGATATCTTTAAATCTTTTAAAAACATTTTGACCGGTCGTACAATTCCTTTCTGCAAAGACATTTTTCACGGTATTTCTCGGTCGAGTTAACATGACTTCATTGACCGCACGCGCACTGTTTGTTCGTGTCCACTGAATTCTCGATCATAATAAAATATATATATTTATAAACCTTCCGTCAGATTTTATTACATATAAAATAATAAAGATTTCCAAAATTCTCAAGCTATCTTCATATCGTTGATGAATTTTAATTAAAATCCAATAAAAGTTAAATTCAAGAAACTCTTAAACATTCCACGAAACGAAACCTGAAAAAAATGATGAAGGAATAAACAGTAATATTTAAATAACCAAATAAATCGATTTGCTAGGTGAAAAAGAATAAAGAAAAGATAAGAGAATGAAGAACGTATCGAAGACGATAGAGTTTAAGAGGAGGACAATTCCACTTGGTGATGGTTATAGTGGTGGTGGTGGTGGTGGTGGTGGTGGTGGTGTTGTGTATTCGGAGTTGGTCAATAGTTTAGCCGCTCGCGTGTATCCTTTAGTATGCAACGTATGCAGTCGGTTGTTACCGAAGGAGTGGTTTGCCGAGCGGCCAATGGCGAGTGCTCGAGCTAATTCTAGGGTGCTGCCGGCGCGCCATCTTTGCATCATAATGCCTCTTTCCCTCCCTTCCTCTTGCGTCTTTCACCTTCGTACCCTCACCCTCTCTTTCATTCCAAAAGAGAGAAAGAGAAGGAAGGAGACAAACAGTGAAAGAAACAAAGAAGGAAATAAATGGACTACAACACTTTTTTTCTACCCCCTTATATTTATCCTTGCACAACGTAAGAAAAGAATGATCAAATAAATGAAAATATTTAAAGAAATAAGGAAAAGATACATCTTAGAAAGAATTTACTACGAAAGTGAGATAGAAGGATAGTTTCAAAGATAGAGAAAGAAATAGAGAGAGAGAGAGAGAGAGAGGAAAGAAGAGGGAAAGAGAAACGGGGAAAAAGGGAGGAGCGGAGAGGACGATGAGAGTAGAGGGGCCGAAGGGGTTGTCTGCGCCTTGTCTGCCGGGAATCAATCACGTATCAGTGACGCTCAACCTGTGCCCACCTGCTGATGCCTTATACCGATCGATGAATATATCAACGATGATAATACATAAGCTTTTCTCTACCGTATAACTAATTTTCTTTTTTTTTTTTTAATTATTTCATCAAACTTTTTCTTCAAATTTCAAAATAAAGGTGTAACAATGTATAGCAATCTAATACGTAGGGAGAAGACAAAAAAAATCGATTAATTCATACACGCTATATATATAAAAAATGATATATACGTAAACTCATGCGTAGAAGAAGTTCTCAAGTGATGTCTTTAATAACGAAAAGGTGAAAATAAGAGAAGAGAAGAGAAGAGAAGAAGAGAAAAAAAAAGAAGTTTAAAGGATGTTGCCCGAAGGCGACACGGACTCGTGCTACCGTCTATCATCCAACGAGAGAGAAAGTAATCTACAAAGTTGATTTGCGTATGCGACGGCAACCCATCCTGGGTATTTTCTACCGTTGATATACCTGTCGCAACCTGAAGAAACTCAAAAAAATGTTACAACGCAAAGACGTCTTCCCTTCATTTCTTCTTCTTCTTCTTCTTCTTCTTCTTCTTCTCAATCTTCATCCTTTTCTTCTTCTTCTTCTTCTTCTTCTTTTTCTTTATCGATGTGAAAAGAATTCCTGAGATCGAATTCTCTCGATCGCGTTTTTTTCACAAGATTCAACGTCGATTTTTCTTTTGGACGTTCACTGAAAACGTGGCAAGAAACGACGACACATTCAACGTATCGGAGAGCTCAACCGACCGGTTCGATATTATTATTGCTCTTCTCTCTCTCTCTCTTTTTCTCTATCAATCTATATCTCTCTTTCTTTCTCTCTCTCTCTCTCTCTCTCTCTCTATATATATATATATATATATCTTTTTCTTGGACGATAAAGGTATCGACAACAAAGCCGAGAGTGTTCGCGAGATCGCCTCTCGAAATGGCCAATGGCGAGAGATACTGCACGCTGAAGAAAAAGAGAGCGAAAGAGCGAGAGAGAATAAGAGAGAAAGAGAGAGAGAGAGAGAGAGAACACAATAGGTTGCCGCTGCTGGTTCACAGTGACGGAAAATAATTAAAGCGAGCAAAGAAGAAAAGGAGGCGGGTTCAAAGGCATCGATCGAGACTCAATCCCTCTCTCTCTCTTTATATATATATGTATATCCTTCTCGCATCAGCGCAGGGTCAAAAAATAAGTTGACAAGATCAAAAAATAAAAAAATAAAGAAAAATTGTTCTCTTAAGACCATAATCTCGTATTTATGTTTTTCCTTGATGTGAGACCAAAAAAAAACAATAAAACTAAATGCATTCTAATCGTTCAAATCTTGACAATGATCATCCTATGAATAATTTATTATTTATAATAATTAATCACTTTTTTTTATGAAGTCTTCTTTCTTCAAGCAATCGACTCAACCGTGACACATACTAAGAAGATATATTATTATATCGTTTTAATATAAGATTATTATCTACTTCTTGAGATCTTGTAACGAGGGGAACAAAAGCCGATAACACGTGCAATAACTTTTCACTTTTGTGTTATGAGCTGTTTGCACCGATTAACTAAACCGGTTTTTTTTTCTTTTTTTTTCTTTATTATTTTATTACCAAAGAATTTGATTGATAACTCAAGTTTTTATTTATATTTCAAATAAATTTGCTTTCATAAGACAATTAACAAAAAAACTTACAAGGCCGTATAATAAATGATACGTAATTATGATAATAACCTAAGTCAGAAAATTATACAAATTTATTTTATGATTTATTTTCTAATATAAATATTTGTTATATAAGATACATCGTAAAGCTCATTTTTCTTAATTCTTTAACTGTCATAATTACTGACACGTATAACAATAAATTATGTCTTAACAAACAACGTAAAAATTCTTGCTTATAAAAAAAATGAAATGAAATATTTTTAGAATCTATCGTAATCTACGCAAAAATACATGCAGAATGAAAAAGAAAGAAACAGAGACGCAGGTTACTGTTGTTTATAGAAAACATTGATATCGACTTAAGGAACATCAGTATGGGTCGAACAACCGGTCTAAGACGACAGACGGTAGCCGAAAGTCGTACAATCGGAGCTCGTTCGTGTTATAGCATTATTTTGACTTTCGATGTTGGCCGTGCGAAACCCCCTGCTGTAGTTAGGATAGGCCGTGATAATTCTGACTGACTCTGACCACTCCAGGGTTCTGACCACCAACCGAGAAATACTTCAACGAGCTATCTTAAACGATCTTGACGAATATTCATCTTTCTTTAATAAGAAAAGTCAAAAATAAGAAAGATAATAAGCACAAAATAAAATAATATATATAAAGAGAAATAAAAACAAGAGAAATTAATGAAAATATCTTCGCGGTATCATGAACCAACTCTCACTTACTTTAATATTATATTTTTACAGTCGTCTATCAAAAACGGTTGAAGAAGGAACGAAGAGCGAGAAAGCGATTGCAGGAGCAATTAGATCTAGAGATAAAGAGGCGCACGCAATTGGAGGAGGCACTTAAAGCCACGGGAGCTTCGTCCGAGCAAGTTCGAGCGATCACTGGTAAGTCTATACAACTGTTACCACCACAAAGAAGTTCAAACGTATCTCATATTCGAGATCTCTCCTCTCTCTACAAGTTTTTCTTTCTTTTTTGGTTTTTTTTTTCTTTAATTTATATATTCGATCGTAATCTCGAACGTCTTTAAATCACGATTACACCCCCAATGTACATTTTAAACTTTGACCTATGTAGAGACAGAGTAGAGAAGAATAATGTGATCGTGTAAGAGTCTCTATCATGTTTCCCTTTCCTCGATCGGATTACCAAGAGAAAGAGAAGACGATTTTCAAGTTGAAAGATAGGAAGTCGTTGAATATCTTCGCAACGAGATCAACATCCCTAGAGGTTGGCAGTGATCTTAGAAGGAATTAATTAATTCGCCAAGGCAAAGTAAACAGACTGACACCCGTTAGAATATGATTCCTTACTTATCCTCTAGTGAAATTTACCTGATCCTTCCTTCCTTCCTTCCTTCCTTCCTTCTCCGTATATCATCGTCGTCCTATCGGCCCATTCACCATCCTTTTCTTTCTTCAATGTTTCTTCTTCTTCTTCTTCTTCGAGATTCAACCCGCCCACTCTTCGAATCCTCCGGCAAGAGAAGTAATAAGAAAGAGAGAGAGAGAGAGAGAGAGAGAGAGAGAACACGGCACCCTTCTTCCTGTCACTACCAAAACTCAAACGCGAAACCCTTTAAGTGAAATCTCTTATTCCGATATAACATTTCCTGCTCAGTTGGCTGTTTGCCTGCCTCCTGCCAAATGGTTCCTCCTCTACTTCTCTCTTTGGCACGTTCTCATTCTCGACCTCGTTCTCGTCCTCGTCCTCATTCTCGTCACCGTTCTCTCCTCTTTCCTCTTCGTCCTCATCCTCATCCTCGTCCTCGTCATCCTTCTCGTCGTCTTCGTCTTCGGTACTGTTGATTAATCCTGTCAGATCCAGAGAGTAGCGATACTAATTTCAAATCAAACGGAACGAGACTCCGCATTTCCACGACAAGACAGAAACAGAATGAGAGAGAAAGTACACCAAATTATTTTCCATAATCGATTACCTTGTGTATTTATTCATTACGTTATCAGTAAATTTGTAGAAATCAATCATATTTATATTTTATTAAAATGATCATTTGATTTGATTTGTTTAATAAAGAAAACGTGACGACGGAAGCTCGTACAAGCACAGAACCGCCAGAAGCGAGTCCAGTACACTCGCAATCTCAACAGCAACCATCCCAACAACAGACGCAACAACAACCCCTTCAGCAACAACAAACGGCGGCGCAACAATACAGAGAAGCTCAAGTTCCACGTCCGTCGCAACAACCGTCTACGCCGGAGAAACCAACATGGGGATACGGGTTGGACCTAATCGGTAGTCAGGCTTCGGCCTTTTGGCAAAATTACCAAGGTATGTTTAAGTAGTCTCCATTATTTTTCTTCCATTTTTTTCTATACAATTTAGTTAAAAATTACCTTGGAATTTCGATCTTTTAATAAGACACATTTATGGTACCCAGGGACCGTTTATCGCGTTCACAATTTTCTAATCCCGTATATTTATACTTCAAATAAACTTAGAATAATTTTTTTTGTACGAATTTAATTAGGCACACTTGTGGTACCCACATATTTCATTTTCTTATTTCATTAATTTCCAATTTTAAACTAATTTCGCATAATTTGATCTAAAAGCTAGTCGCATTTATATAAAATAATCTCAATAAATAATATATCAGCATCATGATAGTTTCATATTCGCGATGATAGGAATCGAGCAGTTTAGGGAGAAACTCTTTCACCGAAAAGTATAGGGACGAAAATAAGAGAATGAGAGAAAGAAGGGCAAGGATCTGTAGCAGACCGCTAATTCGGATAATCGCGTTCTCGTATTAGAATCCACTCAATTTTTCTGATCATCCGGACGAGTGGCCTCGATCCCTGTTTCCAGTATATGCACCTACACGTAGTAGGTATACTACTACGATAAGGGTGAGAGAGAGATAGGTGGAGGAGAAAGGGGGGATTAGAAGGAAAAGAGAAAAACCGCGAATAGGAAGAACGGGGAAAGAGGGTTAGAAGAGGGAAGGGGGTGAAGAAAAGTGTGTGTCGTGTGGTATCGGCCAAAGTAAATTATTCGAAAGATCTCGAGCGAGAACAATCACGCCGGAGGCAATAACAACCCCGTATACAAGGAGAGAAAGAGAGAGATAGAATAGAATATAGATATAGATAGAACACTGTTTATAGGTGTGTATGTGTGTATATGAAACAGAGAGAGAGAGAGAGAGAGAGAGAGAGAGATACGTAGGTCTGACGAGGAAACACGAGGTATTTGAATCGAGTCTCAGAAGCAGCCAGCCACCCGGGCATCATGATGCGGAATCCATTTGCAATAAACAACAGAGATTTAGGCGAAGAGAAAGGGAGTGGGAGGGACCAAATAGAGAGAGAGAGAGAAGGAGAGAAAGCGTAACGTCGTCGTTGTCGTCTGAGGTGGGTACTTACACCACCCGAAGGGACCTCAGAGCCGTTGTGTCTTCGAGTCCATGCATTCTATACCACCAGTGGTCCTCATGTTTGGAAAATTTCCCAAGAACTTGATGATAGAAAATTTTCAATCGACTCCTACGAGTCACTGATATTTCATTAAAAACTTCTATACAATTTCTTTCAATTCTTATAGACTAGAATGGCAATTATTGAAGTTGATTAGTATGAGTGAATTTTCGTATGATTGTACGCGTACGCTCGTGTGTGCGTGTTATGTTTAAATAATGATTTATTTGAATCAGAGTTTTATCGGATCTCGATAAACAATAGAATTAAAATTTCAATTGATTTGGCGATAACTGAATTGATCGTCAATGAATTATTCGTGTTTTTCTGTAAATGCTTAAAAGTATTGTTAAATTTGGTTTGTTTAAATAATCCATATGAGCGCCACTGGGCGTAATGCAGAGTTTATGCACATCTCTCGTAAGTAAGGAAGGAGCCGTAATTTCCCCGGCGGCCACCGTGGCTCTCTGTGGCGTTACCTGTATGTTCTCTCCTCCTACTCCCCCCTCCCCCTAACTCCACCCCTCCTCCTCTACCACCTTCTTCCCAACCACCTTCTCCTCCTTCTTCTTCTTCCACTCGCGTTTCCTTGGCCTCCCTTAAACCTCTCCCACCCGTTCGCTCCTGTTCGCTCCCTCCTCCTCATCTGTATTCCCTCCCTCGATACTCCCTCTCACTCGCACACGTATCATTCCTTCGCAACATCCACGGAGAAGACGACGACGACGAAGACGACGACGACGACGACGACGACGAAGACGACGAAGCACTCCAGTACGCTTTAATATTCAGACTATATGCAATAATTTCATGGCAACCATAATCTTTCCTCCGTCTCTTCCTTCTCCTTCTCCTCGTGCTCCAAAGAGGCTCGTTCATATGATCATACCTATGTATCGCGAATCGTATTCTTTAAACTAGTCGTTAGATATTGTTTTTCTGTATTATTATTGAAATAATAATTTGTCTTTATCCGAAACTATTTGAATAAATTTACGTCTCTATATCGGAACAAATTTTCTAATCAATAATTATTGAAATAATCATTTTTCTCTCGATTTGTAATTACGTGAACAAATTGACATCTATATTTGGAAATATTGTCTAATCTGAAATGATTTTTCTCTAGTTATTAGAAAATGTGAAAATATTCGGAAAAGTGTTTGCGTTTGTCGTAACAAACAAGAAAGAAAAAGAAAAAGAAAATTTATAAGAGATAAGAGCATCGTAGAAACGAAATCACATAGAACGTACTCGCAGGAAAGACAATAACCTCGCAAGAGTGATAAAGCGTGACAGGTGTATATATGTATATGTATATATGAACAATATAAAGGTCGAAGAAAGGCAAAGTGGAGGAAGCAGAGGGTGAATGAGAAATAGAGAGAAAGAGAAAGAGAGAGGATGTTGAAAGCATCCCTCGTTGCTCGAATATATCCACAAGACACGACGTGGTTTTCCGGCGAACGAACTACGACAGGAGAAATCGGATGGAGGAAGAGGAAAAGGAAGAGGGAAAGAGAAAAAGTGTGAGAAAGAAAGAGAGAAAGATGGAAGGGTGCTTCTATTTATACGCCATGGTAGTTTTTCGCGGGGTCGTGCGTAGGTGCCGTCCGAAATATTAGGGGTTGCCACCCCCGCATGACGATTACGAGCTCCGATTTTGTTGAGCCTTCTCTCTCTCTCTCTCTCTCTCTCTTTCTTTATTTTTTCTTCTCTTTCTTTCTCTTAACGGGGCTCACGCAATTTTCACCATCGAATTACACTTCCTCCTTCTCCTCTTCTTCCTTCTTCACCTCTTCCTCTTCCTTTTCTCTTCCAATGTACGGAGCCAATTTCGCCGGCTCGATCTCGTAGACGCTCGAACGGAAAAATTCTCGCTTTTTATTATTCTAGTAAATGACGACGAAGTTCGTGCGAACGACTCGATGAATAATATTGTATATGTAACTACAAGAAAGAAAAAAAGACAAAATGTATAATAAAAAGAAACGAAAATCGATCCGGTCTAAATTACTGGATATAAAATTCTTACCGGAGTGCTCTCACATTTATTTTATTCTTCTCAAATTTTGGATTTAAAAAATATTATTCAATTCATTACGAACATCGAACCTTTTCGCTCGATTTCAAAGAAAGATATTTAAAGTGGTGGTAAAAAATAAGGGAAGGAAACTTGAGATACATCGAAGAATGGTTCACATAAAAAAAAAAAAAAACGAGAAAGAGAGTTCGTAATCTTGAAAAGACACAGTGCTGCTCGAAAAAGCCTCCACCTCGTTGTCGTCGTCTGACTCGCTTGCTTGAGCTCGATTCGACTCACGGAAAAGAGTATCTCGTTATCGTCGAAGGATGAAACGAAATTCCCACCCCTTTAAAGAGGTTTGCGTCGCACTCGCATGAATGCGAGTGAGAGAGAGAGAGAGA